GCACCCATGCCTGCTTATCTATGACCCCCTCCCTCTGCACCCATGCCTGCTCATCTACAACCCCCTCCCTCTGCACCCATGCCCTGCTCATCTACGACCCCCTCCCTCTGCACCCATGCCCTGCTCATCTACGACCCCCTCCCTCTGCACCCATGCCCTGCTCATCTATGACCGCCTCCCTCTGCACCCATGCCCTGCTCATCTACAACCCCTCCCTCTGCACCCATGTCCTGCTCATCTACAACCCCTCCCTCTGCACCCATGCCTGCTCATCTACAACCTCTCCCTCTGCACCCATGTCCTGCTCATCTACAACCCCTCCCTCTGCACCCATGTCCTGCTCATCTACAACCCCTCCCTCTGCACCCATGCCTGCTCATCTACAACCCCCTCCCTCTACACCCATGCCCTGCTCATCTATAACCCCTCCCTCTGCACCCATGCCCTGCTAATCTATGACTCCCTCCCTCTGCACCCATGCCCTGCTCATCTACAACCCCTCTTCTGCACCCATTCCCTGCTCATCTACAACCCCTCCCTCTGCACCCATGTCCTGCTCATCTATGACCCCCTCCCTCTGCACCCATGTCCTGCTAATCTACAACCCCCTCCCTCTGCACCCATGCCCTGCTCACCTATAACCCCTCCCTCTGCACCCATGCCCTACACCTTGCCACCCTGCTCATGCCTCCAACTTTGCTTTGTTCCTTAAAAAACAGCAACAACATCAAAGATAGGATTTTATGCAAAAATATATTTTATATGGAAATTCAATAGTTATACATATAAAAATTCCACAGTATCATAACATTATGATTTCATCCTAAATACTTTTTTATAAAATCTTGGTGCTGATTCTTGCAAGGCCCCTTCACGATACTGATGCAAAGTAAATGGGGGAAAGCCTTCTGCAGGTAATACAACATTAAAGTGACAGGGTGTCCAGGGCTTTACATTCAAAACACATCCAAGTACATAGCAAATTAAATAAAATATTAATAATTAGAGATAATTCCTTAAACATGACAGTTTCACATTCCTAAAGACAGCTCCTGTCTCTTAGAGATACAATCAGTCCATCTCAGCACAGTCCTCAGAAAAAAACAAGGGTGCAGATTTTTTCGTTTCTTGTCTCCTGGGTTGATTTCTGTTCAGGCATGACTCTTCAAGGCTTTGGAGTCTGGGTTTTCTGGTCCAGGTACTTCATGGCATCTTGGACCCACTGCTGCTGGGCTTCAGCACAGACTTCTATACCCTTCTTGGTCTTGAAGCTGTGGGAAGAGTGCTCTGTTAAAGAATATGTAACTTGTTCAGTGAGTCCCTGCCTGGCGTATTATCCCAAATGATGGCATTACCCCAGGGAGGGAGGAAGAAGAAGGTAAGACAAAGGAAGGGCCTAATGGAAAGATGCAGTCCTCACTGGCCAAAGGTAAGCCCCGCCCCCTGCCCTGGCTCCTGGATGGAGAGGGAAGTCCTGAACTGGTGGCTCTGGAGAGAGTGGTGAGTTTCCGCTTTCCCATTGAAAGCTATCTGAGTTTGCGTTAGGGTCTCCATGCATTGAGTGTGCAGTCCTGTCCACTGCCTCTGGGGATGACTGCGCACTGAGGGATGAAGGCAGGTGGTGTGTACTCACATGACTGCTTCCCAGGGACAGTGACTACTGGTGATCTTCTTGTAGCTCTCGAGATTCTTCGTGGGGATCTTTCGTTTCTTGACATAGCAGCACGTGGATGAATTGATCCCATCTACAATGAAAGAACAAGAAAATGTTCTCCGTGGTGGATTCTAGGTCACTCAGGTATGATGAATGGGGTGGTAGGAAACAGCCAAGCAGGTAAGAAAAGACAAAAGGAGAAGTTGCCCACCCCTAGTATAGTATCTCTCCCTCTCTAGTATGGCCCCTCAATTCTCTCTCACTAGTATGGGTTATATGCCAGTCAACAGGGGCAAGACAAGCTGACGACAACTCTGGCTGTCACTAGAAAGCGTTAGGATAATGACCCAGTTCCTTAGAGTAAGAAGACCCTAGTTGTGACTCCCCGCTTTGGGATTAGAAAACTTTGTGTCTAGTTGTGAGCATCTTGTAGACAACAGCCCGTGCAGAGCCGCTGTTGCTGGAAGCTGGGCTGCCTGAAGCACACACTAGACCCTGGGGCTCTTCCCCTTCCCTCTTCTACCTGAGAACACACCCCACCCCAGGCCCCTATGATGCCACCGAGCCCCATCACTAGAGAAGCAGCAGAGCAGGAACTAGCTTGTTTCCCCAAATGAGTCCTGGAGGGACCAGATTCAAGTCCTAGCTCTGCCCTGGGCTGGCCTCCTTTCTATTGCCTTCCTTTGGCAAAGCCTGTAAGACGAGACTAGGGGTAACTTGCATTCTGTAATGGCTCATGAAAATGAAGAGAAGCGACAGCATGCTCCAGGGGGAAAGGAGGCAAGGCCATTCTTACCTGGCTGGGCCTGTATGTGGATGCTGAAGGCAGCCACTGTGAGCAGCAGGCACAGAAGTATGGCAGAGATCTGCATGGTGGAGAAAGTGAGAGTTGGCTTCAGTGAGAGCTGGCAGACTCTGAGCTGGCCTGGCCTCTGCTTTTCGGGCAGCTCCACCTCCTCTTTTATAGGCAGCAAATAGGGAGGGATCTTCATCTGGAATGAATCACAGGAGGGTGTGATTTGAGGCTGTCCAATTTCCATTGAATACCAGGAATGGGAGATGAGGTGGTGACTCTGTCCAGATAGAATGCTGTATTGTGAATTCTGGCTGTTCCTATCAGCTCAGATCCTATGAAAGGAATACTTTCTGTAGAATGAGGAAGGAAACAAAGATGACAATGTCACCACAGGATTCTCATTTCCTCTTTCAACCAACATCCTTAGGACCCCCAAGTCCAGAAACAGGCACTAAAATTTGGGCTGGATTTTAAAATGCACTCAAAGGACAGTTTGGGTAGCTTTTCAAATCTCAGAGGAAAGTGGAGTGATAAAAATGTTAGAAAAAAAAAGAATTTCCCAAATCCTTGTGTCTAATATAGTTTTCAAATATGCTTGGGTTTTGGATAGGAAGGTTGGCTGGACTCAGCTAGGCAGCACTGGCTTAGGATCCTTCGCATCTTTGTAGGTGGATGATGGTTGAGGCTGAGGATCATTCCAAAGCCTTCACTCCAAGTCCGGTACACTTAAACAGCTGTATGTTGGACTGGATGGTGTTCTTTGGTTGCTTCCTCTCCCCATTTCTCCGCATCCCACTGTGAAGACCATATATTTTACAGGATGCTTTAAAGTCTCCAGGAGCATAAACAACACCTGTTAGAAAGGGAATGTAAAAGAACCTACAGACATGTTTTTAAAACCACTCTGCAGAACCAAGTCTGTAAGACAGTAGCAGAGAGACCACTTGGAAAGGGCAAGGGCCTGAGTTCCCTCCCCGGAAATACTGTCTGGAGGAGTTATTAAATGACACAGCACACGGGCATCTTGGAATTTTGTGGTTTTCAAAATATCTCATTAGCTGTGAAAATGCCTTTTCTAAGTAAAAGAACACAGGGAAGTCAAGCTGAGTACAGTGGCATGTATCTTTAATCTCAGTCCTCAGCACATGAGAGGCTAGGCAGGAGGATTGTGAATCTGGGGCCAATCTACATTACAGAGTGAGACATCATGTCAAAAAGTCCAGAGTCTGGGGATGTAGAACATGCTAGGCGTGAGCACTTGCCCAGGGCTCATAGCAAAGACAGAAACCTAAGCGCTAATCAAGCAGCCATGTGAGAATCCAACTTTGGATTGAGAGAACACATTCACAGAGGACAGACAACTAGTTGGGAGTTATCATCCAACTAATAAAAAGAATTTCTACAACTCAGCAGCTAACCAACCGCTCCATCTCCCCCCCCCCACACACACACACACAAAAAACTAAATTGAAAAGGGGCAAAAAATATCAATGAATGTTCTTTAGGGACGACAGACAACAAGTATAAAAAAAGACATTCCACATCACTAGTCACTGGAAGATTGTGTGAGGCCCTGAGTTCAATGTCAAGTCCTTATATGTAAATAAACAAGAATGAAAAGGAAAATCCAAATCAAAACCATCACCCATTATAGTACTTACATCAAAATAAGGGCTGGTCCTTATTAGCTCGGTGGTAGAGAATTGGCATAGCATTTACAAGACTCTGGGTTCCAATCTTCCTACTGTAAATAAAAAGAGTGGGCAAAGAAGGAAAGGGAGAGTTATTTTGTGAGCATGTCATTTGGGTTTTACAAGGTGAAAATGGCCTAGGGGTCTGTGGTTCAATGATGTTAGGTATGTCAACATTAATTCCATAAACTATCCTGAAACGTCGAAATTATGGTGAATTTTGTGGTTTGTCTTTCTGGCACTGTTTTAAAAGTTAAGTGGAAGAATGAATTCTTTAAAAAGTGAATTTTATAGTTGTCAGTAAAAACTGATGATTATTCTTAAAACAATGACTCATTGATCTGTACCCAACTCACTTGTATGCAACGGGACTAGGAATAAGGTATAATAGATGCTCACTAAGCAAAACTGGAAGAAACCCAAGCATTGAGGCGAGAGAGAGGGCTCCGTTGGTAAAGAGCATGCAGTGCAAGCAGGAGAACCTGAGTTTGAGCCTCAGAACCCACCTCAAAGTTGAGCAAAGTGGTAAACACCTGAAATCCCCGTTTTGGGGAGGGAGAGACAAGAAGATCACCAGGGTCTTCTGGCTAGCCAGCCTGACCCAGTGAATGAGTTCTGGGTTCATTGAGAGACCCTGTTTCCAAAAAAAAATGTGGACAGTGCTTGAAGGACAATGTCTGGACTTTTGGCCTCCATGCAGATGTGCTCATGAAACCTAGCAATGAGAAACCATGCATAGTCATTCCTATTATTCTAGATAGGTACCAGGAAAGATGCTCCTGGGACAAGGGCTTTGGTCTTGTTCTCAGAACGAACATTCCTGACCATGGCTTCGAGACCCATGGGCTTCTGGCTTGTCCCTTTGCACCCATTGGTCACACTTGGGGTGGAGCTGGCTGGATATGCCTTTCTTTAGCCGTCACTGCTCTATTCTGGCTCGCAGAAGGCTGAAGCTGGTACAGACCCTGGGCTTCTGATTATCTTGGCCACGTGATTCCTTTGGAGAAAAACTACTGCTGCTACCAGTTCTGAGCTACTGGTACAGACATGTCACATCACTCCCTCTCTCCCTATGTGTCTTTCTGGCTGGTTGCCTTGCTTCACCCATGCCTGATCCACGATTCTTTTAAGCCAAAGCTCCCAGGCTTGAATGAGAACTCCACATTTCTAACCAACTCCCTTCTTTCAACCACTTGATCCAAAGCCTTTATTGTTTACAACCTTTTAAAAAGTTTCATTCCCATGCCTTTATACCCAAATGATTTCCAGTAGAACTGTGGAGGGCACACACTCAAGAAAAGGTAGTCTTTTTTGTAGTCTTCAACAAATGGTGTTGGGAAAGCCAGACATCCATGTTACTAAAGACTGTGGTGGTGTGGGGGGGAGATGGGAGGGCTGAATGAACTCAACTAGCAGACACCAAGTTGCACATTCAGAAGAATAAAAGGAAACCCCAGCTCTCACAGCCCATGAAAATCAACTCAAATGGGTTAAAATGTGAGGCCTGAAGTCATGAAGTGACTAGAAGAAATCATACAGGAGATGCTTTATGACTTGGGACTAAGCACAGAGTTTATGCATAAGACCCCAAGGCATAGGAAATGTAGGCAAGAACTAGAAAAACATGTTTGCTTGTTTAAATCAAACTAAAGGTACAGGAAAAGAGGCAACCAGCCGGGTTAACAAATTAACCCATAGAATGGGAGCAAATACGGGAGACTTCATCTTATTTCCTTACCACCACCACATGCATAAACAGTATATCTAAAAAGCCACATCCCAAATGAAGGCACAGATAAATAAAAGAATCCTCAACTTTACTGATCATGAGATATGATAGTTAGTGTCAATTGTCAACCTAACAGAATCCAGTGCTACCTGGGAGGAGGGCCTCTGAGTGTGCCTGTGGAAATTATCCTGACCGTGTTAGGTGAATTGGAATGAAAAGACTTGTCCACTCTGAGCGGTTCTATTCCCTGGCTAAGACCTAGGATTGTGTGAGTGGAGAAACAGAGCTGTGCCGTAGCCTTTCATCACTCTTTGCTTTCCTGTTTTGGATGGGACATGATCAGCTGCTTCAAGTTCTTATTGTCTTAGTTCCCCTACCATGATGGAGCCAAGAAGAAACCCCTTCTGCCTTAATTTGCTTTGTCAGAGTATTTCTTTTTTTCCACAGGGGGAAAAAAAAGAAAGAAAGAAAGAAATGAAGATGACATCAGGGAAATGGACATCAAAACCACAGTGAGACACCACTTCCCTCCAGTCAGAAGGGCTACTGCTAAAAAGTCAAAAATAAAAAATGCTGGCGAGGATGTGGAGAAAAGGGGCCCCTTGAAACTGTTAATAGGCATGTAAATTAGTGTAGCCATTGTCAGGAATGGTGTGGTAGTTCCTCAAAATACTAAAAGCTAGAATTAGCATATGATCTAACAATCCCACTCCTGGGTACGCAGCCGCAGCCGAAGGAAGAGGAATCAGTATGTCAAGAGACATCTGAACTTCACGCTTATCACAGCACTTTTGGCAACAGCCAAGAAATGGGAGCAGCTGAGTGCTAGCTGAGAAGTAGACGAAGATGATGTGGTAACGGTGTAGGGTGGAATAATCTCCACCAAAGGATGGGCGAGGGGCTGTCATTTTTTACAAAATGGCTGAAACCGGATGTCATCGAGTTGCATGAAATAAGCCAGACACAGGAAAATCAGTCCCATGTGATCTTCCTCATGTGAGGGCCACAAAAGCTGACCTCATGAAAACAAAGTAGAATGGTAGTTACTAAAGACTGTGGTGGTGTGGGAGGAGATGGGAGGGCTGAATGAATTCAACTAGCAGACACCAAGTTGCAGACAGATTGGAGAAAAGAGTTCTGGTTGTTGTATTATATGCTATTAACTTAAAATTAATCAATTCTGTGCATATTTAAAAGGCCAGAAGAAAGGATTCTGAGAGTTTTCAATTTGAAGAAAATTGTTTCAGTGTATATGTGTGCGTGTGTGTGTGTGTGTGTGTGTGTGTGTGTGTGTGTGTGTGTGTACATTTACTCTTATTGGAACATTATGCAATGTATCCATGCACCAAAACATGGCATGAGAGCTTGGAGTGAGGGTTCAGTGGGTAAAAGTATTTGTTTTATATAGTGGAAAACCTGAGGGCCTATCCTCAGAACCAAATACAAAGTAAGACATGATGGCACTCATTTATAATCTGGGCACTCCTGTGGTGAGGTGAAAAGTGGAGACTGGAGAATCACCCAGAAGCTCACATGTAAGCTAGCACAGAGTACACACTACAGTGGCAGAAACAAGAGAGATGCTTCCTCAACAAGGAGGAGAGAACCAGCTCTCAAAAATTGTCCTCTGACCTCCACACATGCTCTGTGGCTCACATGTGCCTGTGCGTACACACACACACACACACACACACACACACACACACACACGATGATGGTGATGATGGTGATGAT